GTGTTATCTTGAGCTGGAAACTTCTACTTCCTCTGTAGTTCCCGTCTGAGAACACTGGTAGCCACTGACTCTCTTCCTTCTTATTTTAAACGCACAACTTGAGCAATGCAAGTGCAAGATGAACATGTATGTGTGTGTGATGGCCTAACTGTCAGTCTTTGTTTCAGGGGGTTTAGGTGAGAGGTCACCATGGCACCCTTCCTCCGTATCGCTTTCAATGACTATGATGTGGGTGCTTTGTCTCCTCCGTCTGACCCTCCCATTTGTGCAGTCAAGATGAAGGAGTCTGTCAGCACAGGTATGTACAAATGCACACACACATATGCAATTATAATTTCTCTAGATGGAAGTGGCACAGTGAGTATAGGGAGACCAGATGTCCACAGTTTAATTGCCAGAACAGTCATCATCGGCTGGGTGCAGAAGTCCATAAGCAAAACAATGACTTTCTTCCAACTCCAGGTACTTAATGTGCTGGAGCCTCTCCTGTACTGTGACTATTTGGTCTGTGTGATTCTCCCAATGTTCTTTCACAGAGCGAGGAAAGACCTTGGTCCAGAGGAAGCCCACCATGTTTCCAGTCTGGAAGTCCGCTTTTGATGCCCACATCTATGAGGGACGTGTCATAGAAGTGGTCCTCATGCAGAATAATGAGGAGCCATTGGGTAAAGCCACAGTGGGTGTGTCTGTACTAGCAGAACGCTGTAAGAAGTCCAAAAACAACGGATGTGTCGAGTTCTGGGTGGATCTGCTTCCTTCAGGGAAGGTCCTCATGTCTGTACAGTTCTTCCTGGAGGATGTCGATGCAGGTAACACAGCTACATTATAAAGATCTTGAAATTTTGGTTTTAAATCTTTAGTATTTCTCTTCAACTTTGCACAAATAAAAAAGCAACAAGCAGTGGTGAGGTATAGAAAAAAAATCATTTGTAGTATTATCGATTGAGTTTAACCCTCAAAAAGAAAATCTGCTTGATCAGGACTGTGTGGGTGTGCTTTGAGCTGATTCCACTGACAGTGGCCTTAAGCGAGTAACCCCACAGCTGTCATTAGGTTTAGCTTCAAATACTGCTAAATCCTGTTTGGTACATGTGAATATGTGACTTCACCTTTATCCAACTAAGCTGAGCTCAGTTCAAACCAATGAAAAAGAACAGACAGATATCTCTGAAGTGAAATGTTCATAACTGAGAAAACTGTCAAGCTTCAGAAAATTGTGTGTTCTTGTTGGACCCCATCCCTCAAATTGAGTAGATACTCGAGAAAATGTTTTTATACAGCATTTAAAAAGATATTCCCTGACCGGGAATCGAACCCGGGCCGCGGCGGTGAGAGCGCCGAATCCTAGCCACTAGACCACCAGGGAGTAGTGTTTTCTTTGAAAGAAGAGGCCAGTGTGAACAAAACCTCTCCCCCTCCCTTGACTCTGTCATGGTGACCCATTCCACTGCAGTGCTGATATGTAATGCCCTCTACTGGCAGAAAGAATCCCTCATGTGATGTTCACTTGCCTGCAATTTCTACCCACAACCGCAGCTTAACATGCTTCTAACTGTGAGCCTCTCTCAGGAGTGTGGTGCTACCTCAGCCTGTGAAGGATTAATCTCCATGCTGTTGCTGTTGACATATCGCACATTAATCTTGTCAGGTGACTATTGTGCCCATGTGATCAGTGTGCTGTAAGGTCATGTAGCGGTTTGGCCTTTGAACTGTCTGTCTTTTGAATAACTAGCCAACAATAAATATATGTATTTGACTAGACGTATAAAAATGTCTTTGTTGATACAATATACAAATGGGTTCACTAGGGGTCTAAAATCTCACTTCAGAAATTGTTCTACCCTGTCAGAAATTAAAGGAAATGTTGGATTTTTTTTTTCATGTAATAATGCCACATAAACACAGCAGCACTGAATAGCATGGCAAATTATCCATCACTGGCAGTGTGAGTTCAAAATCATATTGCTGTCATTGTTAGCCTCCAGCTGTCAAAATCAGAAGTAAAAAAGAGCAGTACAGGCTGGCAAGTATTAATCAGCTTCCAACTTAGAACCCCAAACAGGGAAGCTGGTCTATGGTAGCCATTGTCAACATGAAGGGGACTAGGTGAGATGACAAGCTGGGTCTATTAGGGGGAGTAGCACAATTAGGGTTCTTTGGTCAGTGGTGGAGAGTGTCATGAGCACACCTCCGTGCCTGCTCTTCTGAAAGAGGTTCCTACTCCATCAGCTCCCTCCTACACACTACACATGTTTCCTGAGGAGCAGCCTAGAATATTTTTAGGCATGTGTGAAAT